TAATCATTTTAGAATCAATAGATTAAATTAATGTTCATTAAAAATTTTAATTTAACTTGGTTTATGGGTAAATGTGTAAAGTAGAATAAATCAAATAAGAGTTCTACAATACTAGTATTAATGAATCTGAATCTCTTCGTCATCGGGATTATTCACCATCAAAAAGTTTGTTGTCTATCAATAGGCGGAGCTATGAAAATGCACAAAGACGTTCTAGTTTTCAAAGTTACAAAGATAAACATGAAGAATTTAATTTTGCTTGTAACACATCATTTAATTCGATAAAAAAATTAGAATAAATCGTATAACCTGGGTTGCCTACGTCACAATGACTTACGTCAAAAACGTATCAATCCGCTTGACGTTACACTTAAAATACGTGCAATTTGAAGGCATTTTTGAAGGAGAAATTGTCTTATTTTTTAAACTTAATGATGGAAAATTAAATTATAAGGAATGAATTTAATAGCTACCCAAGTTATACTGGTATAACCTGCGTTGGAACAGTTAACGCTTTTTTATAAACCGCTTGCGGTTTATAAAGCGTAAACTGCCCCAACCCAGGTTATACCAGTATAACTTGGGTGCTATTAAATTCATTCCTTAAATATGTATTTCTAAAATTCTTTCATAGTATATGCAAAAGCGTACGAACAATTTCTAAAACGAGGCAAGCTATTGACAAAAGTTGACACACGGATATGAACAGTCTCGTTTAAAGTGAACATTTCGCAAATGCTAAGGTCGATACAATGACCTTGTCAGCAAATAAAATCTATTATTAAGTCGAATGTTGACTGAAGTTTTCATAAAAATTGTTAGACCACTATTTTCACACTAAATTGTCTACGGATTTTTCCCGTTTTCCCCATCATGACAAGGAGCGCACAAGGGTCGACAGGGAATGCTTACTCTTTAATGGCACATGATTCCATCTCTGATGTTTTTAAAGGTTCCTTTGCTCCTAAATTGTATTGTTTCAATGGATTTTAGAGCTTGATTACACTCATATGAGGGCTTTGAAAAAAGATGGGTGAACAAGGCGGGCGAAGTGCCTATAGTGCGACAATTATGAAGTGAAATATAAAATCTCAATTATATCAAAAGTTTCTTTGATATTCCTTCTAACATTAAAGTATACTTTATGTAAAATCTCTACAATTTACAAAAATCTCACAAAGACTGAAATTATTTGCCTACAAAATAGCATACACACACTAAAGAGGACAAAATGGATCATTTTTTCATACTTAAACAAAATTTTTCGATATGAGTGGGTCTTCGCTCCATTTTTTTTTAAGTTAATCCTAAAAGTTTGCATAAAAATATACATTTTTGGTTTACAAAAACATGGATCAAAGACCCACTATACCTTAAAAGTACACTTTTATGACAATGCATTCGCACCTTTCCGAGAAATACTAAGTCCATTAAGTCAAGGGTCATATCACAAACATGATTTAAATGCCACTATTCATCAGGAGCTGTGTAGCGTAGTGGTTAGCGTGTTAGTCTCAAAGCAATATGTCACTCCGGATTTTTATTGTTAGGGGTTCGAATCCCACAAATACCATTTTAAGGATACATAACCCAAACAAAAATTTGATGCATGGATTGATATATATTTTTTTGACTGATTTTGAATGGAAATGACATAAATAACCAATCCCTAAAACATAAAGAAATCGTAAGTTTTCTTTGGTGCTTAGATATGCGACTTTGTATTGTTTTCTATGTAATTCTATACAAATTTTTGCACATATTTTTAAAGTTGTGACAAAATCTTACCAAATTCTCCCACTTTACCTGGAAAATATCATTCAGGTTACCTATTTGAATATTAATCTATGAGAAATATTGCTGATTTCTGAAAAAAAGTTTGTTTGTGTTATTTATCCTTAATTTTTTTTTATATAAGAATAATTTTTTCCGAGATCTTTTTTTTCTCAGAAAAGTTTTGTTGAATATAATTTCATATATTTCAATAATGAGAACTTTACTTTAAATACTTTATTTACAAATTGAATATGAGTTTTTTTAATATCTGAAGCTATAGGCATTCTGCACGCCTTGTTCACCCATCTTCTTTATACCTTTTCTAAGGGCCATTGAGCTGTGTATGATCCTTATTATGCCAACACCTGCCATAATACGGGGCCTCAGTTTTTAAAGCCCCATCCGAAAGACCCACTAATTTCACTTCAAAGTGCTTGGTTAAGGAATAGTTGCTACCTATTCTTTTTCGCATTAGGTTTGACGCGGCCGGTGAACAATCTTCCAATCACGGTGCAAGCACTCTACCGACTGAGCTACCATGTTGGTTGTTCAAACTGATTAAGTCCAACCTTAGACTTGAAATAGACAGAAACTTATTCGTCCCTTAATTATTAGCATTAGAAAGAGAAATGGTGGGCCTGCAGGATGCCACTTTAAAGGTTGAGGTCAATTAAATGCCCCAGTAGGTAGGGCATAGTAAATGTTTCTGGGTCCACTGAATCCATAACGATCCGTAGCATGTAGGTTTAAATTTAATATTTTAATATGAGTGAAACAATCTCGATAAGAAATTGATTGATTGTATGTTGTTTTACGTCCCATTCGAGAATTTTTCACTCATATAGAGACGTCACCATATACCGGTGAAGGGCTTCAAATTTTGACCTTTACTCGGCACTCAGGGCCATTGAGCAGTGAGGGATCTTTATCGTGCCAACGCCTGCCGTGACACGGGGCCTCGGTTTTTAAGGTCTCATCCGAAGGACCCGCAACTTTCACTTCAAAGTGCCGAGCGCATGGCGAAGGAACAGTTGCTACCCATTTTTTATCGACTTAGGTCAGTCGCGGCCGAGATTCGAACTCCCGACCTCCCGATCACGAAGCAAGCGCTCTACCGACTGAGCTACCGTGACGGTGATAAGAAATTGAGAAATATACAATCGATCAATTTACGTTTATCGTTATTATTATAATCATAGAATCCAATGGAAGAAACTAGGAGATTGGGAAAATTTTTGAATGTCAAACTAAGTGATCAACAAATTGCAGACATTGTGGATAAATGTAGTTTCCAGAATCTCAAAGATGCTGATGAAACATTAAAAGAACTCTTTCATAGAGAGAAAACTACTAATATAGGAGAAGGTGTTTTAAGAAAACGACCCAACATATATCGTAAAGGTAAGTCAATAGCTTAACTTCAAAAATAGCGAATTTTGCTGATTGATTGTATAGTACAGACATTAATGAGTTTAATACAATAATTCCTAATATCATATTATTTTTTCCAGGAGAAATTGGAGACTGGAAAAATCATTTTACAGTTGCTTTGAACGAACATTTTGATACAATATTTCAGGATAAAATGAAAGATTCTAAAATTCAAGTGCAATTTAAATAGAATTAAAAAAAGATTTAGCATGATGAAGGATTAATACTTACTCTTGGATGTGGAGAATTTTTTATACACTAGTTTATACTTTATTAATTAATGCAAAATTATTCAGAATAATGTGTCGAGATAAAAAAAAACATTATTCAAGAATGTAAAAAGCATAATTAATAAAAAGATAAATTTAAGAAGCTTTAACATATATAGAGAACTAAATAGAAGAGTGTGACCCATCCGCCACCTTACTATTTCTAACTCTAACGCCTAAAGGATCTCTCAGTGATCTTCTGTCTTACAGTGATCTCTCTTGGTCACGCACGATCTCTCAGCTATATCACTAGATCTTTCAATGATATAGATTGGTCGCAAATCAAACATTCAGAAAACTCAGAGGTCGCTACAGAGAGCAATGTAACCATAAATCTCAAAAAGGTATCTCAGTGTGCGCTCTTTGAGTGCCTAGTTCGCTGTACTGATACAGTATCGACAGATCGCCTTAAAATGTGACAATATTTCTAACTTTTCATTGCACGACAAACGCACGATAATATCCCAATAACTTTTACATAGGAACTAACTCTCCGATGTATTTTGAGATCGCGTAGAGATCCAACAAGTTTTTCATCTCCCAAAGATCTCTCAATGAAAGGAGCCCATACCTAGTTCAATCATTTATCAGATTCATAAGCAGAAATTTTAGAAGAAAACATGTGTATTGTTCGCATTATATGAACTGGCTAATGATGAATTGCTGTGTATTACCTAATAAAAATGATGACTTCATTCGGTTTCATCAGTGAGAGAAACTCACTGCTATTTAGAGAAATATAGTAGTCAGAAATGCCTGCAAAGTATTTAAGACTTTATATGGTTATTATCATTTTTCTTATTGTGAGTGCAGAAAAAAGCTTCTATACAAAGGCCAAGGATGATCAGTTCCTGATATTTCTATCCTGGACGAAAATAAATTATTTTCTAAAATGATATCACTTTTTATTAAAAAAAAAAATCAGAAGGATGATCTGAACATTGCTCTAAAAATAAAATATATTTCCAAATCTGGTTGGAGTTAATTGAGATATTTCAGAAAAAAAGGTTGACAATGTTTATAAGTTCACGACGTACGGGTAAGGTCACTCTTGGTGAATCTATTGAACTAAAACACCTCCAACGACAGGATCACTGAGCTACAAAATATATGTATTTCTTTTTTCTTTTCTTTTTACTTGACCTTCAGACAATAGATAACAAGGTCTCCTGAACATGAGACCTTTTCTTTCGTATATAAAATGGTCATAGTTTGAAGTAGGGATCACATTTCTACAAACGTATATAGGTACATTATTTGTTTTTGTTTGTTTTGAACATATTTTATTGACAATGTGTCAAAGGGATTGGACACAAGTTCTAGTCCTCTCCCATTATTTGAGTTTGGGTTAGTCAAATACAGGTAACATTGCATATATTCTAATCAGTGCACATGTATGTCCTATTTCATGAACCTTCTGCGAATGATAAACAATATCTTCATTTTTTTTCTTGTGTATGAAATACGGAGATAACGAACAGTAATCAAGCTTTAAAGTCCGTTGAAACAATACAAATCGGGAGCAGAGCAAACACGGACCTCTAAAAGCATCAGAGGTGGAATCAGGTGACATGGTGAGTAAGCATCCCCTATATATGTTTGCTACATGGTTGTCAAAATTTTAAGGGGACACAACTTCATATCTCAATTGCATCATCAAGTATCGACGCACGAGTTGCTTGGAGATGGAGGAAAGTGCCGGTAAAACTGAATATAATGTTGAAAGAATCGTTTTTGACGGAATGACTGTTCCACCATTTGTTCCTTTAAAGAGAGATGCCAAGAGAAGGTTTGAAGAGATCAGAAATCTGGAATATAAAGAGGACGACGTCATTCTAACCACTTTCCCTAAATCAGGTTCTTAATTGTTCTTAACATTTAAATTGTTATAATTGCTTAGAAATATTATATATATATATATATATATATATATATATATATATATATATATATATATATATATATATATATATATATATATATATATATATATATATATATATTAATGCCCTATTTGTCCAGCATTACCACCCCTGATCACAATTTGAAAGAAATTGAATATGCACTACCTGAAAATGCTTGCATATTAATAGGACTAATCATAGCCCTGCTGTTCTTGGGAAAAAGATTTTTAAAGATTTTTTCCACTGTATCTTCATGTAACAATTTGATCCCCTATTGTGGTCCCAACCCTACCCCCCCCCCCCTCACTCCCCCGGGGATGATTTGAACTAACTTGAATCTACACTATTCCAGGAAGTTTCTACATAAGTTTCATTTCTTCTGGCATAGTTTTGCTTGTTCGTTTGATTAATGTCCCTTCGAGAATTTTTCACTCGTATTAAGATGTCGCCTCTTGCCATTGGAGGGCTGCAAATTTAGACCTGTACTCGGCTTTTACGGCCTTTGAGCAGTGAGAGATCTTTTTCGTGCCAGTGCGACATGGGACCTCGGTTTATACGGTATCAACCGGAGGACCGGTGTCCACGTCCGCAGTGGGATTCGAACCCGCAACGTAAGGATCAACTCCTTACTCAGTGACTCTAGAGCAAACGCTCTAACCACTGCGCCACGTAAGCGACTCTTCTGGCCTAGTTGTCTTAATGTCCCAACCAAACTTTCACTATTTCTTAACTACGTATCTCCCTTTGAAAGGGGGTTTGGTTCTTCATTAAAAAAAATTCAATCTCCTTCACGCAAGGATGATTTCTGGCAAGCTTAGTGAAATATAGCCCAGTGGTTCTGGATCAAAATGTGAATTTAAGAGACGGACGGACAGAAGACGGACAGTGTGTGATAAAAAAAAACTCACTTGAACCTATGGTTCAGTGGAACTAAAATGTTGTGGTAAAATACAGCTATTAAACTCGTATAAGATTCAATTGTGATTTTTATTGCCATTTACAAGTTTGCCTCTCAACTGGAAATCCTAATTATGTTCTTAGACAGCACAGATGCATTCCTTATTTTTTTATGTTCCTGGATGTTACGTTTCATGACTCACTAAGAAATGTTTCATGAACAACAAAATGTTTTTTTAATCTGAAATTAAACAGTGAATTAGGTATAGGACAACCTCTCTTTCCCAATCTTGTATCGTGCTCTGAAGAGAGTGTATCCCACAGCCCCAAGAAAGGATAGGCTAGGGCTGACATTTATTGGCCCTAAAATACCAACTGTAATAATCAAAGAAAATCTTATATTACACGTAATTATATTTGAAATACCTTCACGATTATGAGAGCTTCCTATGCGTTAATAACGCACAGTTATCTTCAGTCAGCAATTGTATGGTACTATGACGTATTTACACATTTTCATTCTGTGAACTTACTATGCATATGCTTCAGAATGCAATAATTATATTCAAGTTATATGATTTTCATTTTTACAGGAACAAACTGGTTTTGGGAAATTATCTGCATGTTACTCAAGGGCAAAGCTGAATACGTTAAAGAAGCAAAAGTGTCTGTATTTTTGGAAGCTATTCCAGATTTAAATGTTGTCCATGGCTTAGCCTCGCCTAGAGCACTAAATACGCATGTTCCATATCGATGGCTACCAAAGCAACACTTAGAAAGGAATGGGAAAATTGTACACGTCATCCGAAATCCAAAAGATGTTGCTGTCTCAATGTACTACCATTTTAAATCATCGGGCAATATAAATGATGATTGCCATTTCAAAACTTTTCTGGAACAAATATTCCTTAGTGCAGGTAAAATGTAATCTTCACCACCAACCCCCCAAATCCCCCTTCCCAATAGAGACACCAAATACAAAACACAACAAAAAACAAAAAATGCCAAAAATAAGGAAAGAAATAGCTCATATCTTAATCTTATGGTTAAATTACTGTGCGTGTACATAAATTGGCGTATTAAAACTTAAGCGCAATCACTGGATATGGAGTTGATGGCGAAATCATGAATTAGCGCTATACATTTCCGTGCCGTATATTGTATTTATAAATGATTTCTTAGCGGTATTCATGAATTAGCGCATCGTTGTCTGCGCCAAAGCCGCTAAAATATAAAGCCCGCTTTTTTAAGTACACATACAGTTTTATATTCATACTTCTAGATGTACTGAAAAACCTCTAAATGTGCACTCTGCGATATCACATTTGAGTCGTTTTTACCAAACACAAAAATATATATCATATAAAAATGGTGAAAAAGAGATATGTGACTCAATGGAACAGGTGGAACCAACTATTTTTGTAACTCTCTCTTTCTCTCTCTCTCTCTCCTGTAAGTCTATATATGCACAATTCTGTTATAGAAGAAATAATGGATATTTTGAATAAAACGAGTTGTTTTGAAAAAATACAATAATTTAAAAAAAAATAAGGAAAGAAAAAAAAAACACACATAAAGAAACAAACAAACTGAAAACACAAACAGAAATAAACACAAAACAAGAGAGAAAGAAAAACAAACAATCATACAAAAACAACTTTTTAAGTTCAGGCGATCATTTACAAGATTACTGTTCTTGTATTATATGCAAAATGGTTCATTATGGTTCAAGTGACAATTTGAAAGTTACATTGTAATTTGAATTTCTATATTCACTAAGACTTGAGAAGACATGTTCATGACTGACAAATAAAAACTACTTGTAACAAAATTAAATTGACAAAAACGGTTCCTCCCGTTTTATCTAATGTTTTATTGATTGCCTTTTTCCCCAGCATGTCCGATGGGATCCTGGTTTGATTATGAGAAAGAATTTGAACAAGCAAAGACGACCGACAAAGATCATATAATATTAACTGTCCATTATGAGAGTATGAAAAAGGTACGTTGCAGACTATTACAAAAGTTTTCTACGTGGCATGACAGTCAGACATTTATATCGTTCACTTCGATGTTTGTCCGTGCATCTGTCTGTCTGGGCCCTAGGACTCACACTTTTCAGAACTTGCAAATCGTATCGTCTTGAAACTTTATGAAATGAAACATCTCTGAAAGACACAAATATGAAATTGAGTTTCTTCAATAGCCAGTTCAAGTTTGTGTTCTTGACAGGTGTGCTGCATTTTCTGTCGGGATCTATCTTATATATTTTAATATACATGTATATGTACTGATGCATGTACTTAGAACTGGACTTATCACTGGGCTTATCACTGGACTTATCACTGGGCTTATCACTGGACTTATCACTGGGCTTATCACTGGACTTATCACTGGGCTTATCACTGGGCTTATCACTGGACTTATCACTGGGCTTATCACTGGGCTTATCATATAAAAATATTTTAGAGTCAAGAGAGGGAATGTATTTTAACTACAACAGATTTTAAATCAATTTTTGGTGCAATGGTAAATAAATTAACATCAGTGCAATATACAATATGCTGCTGGATTTGCTCCGCCATCAGATTTGTTCATCATAGAGGTTGTTGTCTGACATTAGGTGCTGGAAAATGCATAAAGAAATCGTTTTTCCTCGTTTTATTATGATAGACATAAAATAAATTACTAAAGTAAAAAGAGCGGGCATTGTTAGTAAAAACCTATGATTATTTGCTGCCAGCAGAGAGTGGAACTAGCATGCTTTAAACGTAAGAAAAGACTACTGCTCCACAAAACGCTTAGCATTAGCAAGAGAAATCGAGGGTTTTCTGGATGACATCTTAAAGGTTAAAGGTCAAGTTTCACAATATGAGCTGAAAAACAGTGTTCTTTGTGGCAATGGCAACGGTGACAAGAATCATTGAGCTGCAAATTATTTCTATTAATCCTAATAATTTAAGTGAAATAGCAGGGACTGCAGTTTTTGGCAAAGACACAAAGGGTAAATAAGGCTTGGAAACCCATAATCATTACAATATTCGACCGTTTTGCGACAGATGACAAAGCCTTATTGTTGTGTCCATATAGACGTCTGGAAAAGTATATTTAGAGAACAAGGAATTCCGCTTGACTACGAAAAATCCAATCACATGTGCTTAAGGCTGCAGTCATATCTTCTCTTTCAGGATGAATTGTGTCATTTATAAAACATGTATATGAAAGCTCACCAAGTTTGAGGTTGAGTGATGTAAGGACACATTACTCTCTTGCTACTTAATAAGCCTTGTTCAATGCTGCTCCTTCACCTAGCCTAAGCTTAAGATGTAAACATAAGTAGTGAATGTTCCTTCGCCAAGCGCCCGGCACTAGCTAGGAGTGAAAGTAACGGTTCTTTCGGATGAGACCATAATAACGGAGGTCCCGTGTAACGGTAGGCTTTGACACGATAAAAGAACCCTCACTCCTCCCTGAGTGCTGAGGATTGGTCTAAATTTGAAGTCCTTCACTGGTATATGGTGACGTCTCTATATGAATGAAAAATTTTCGAATGGGACGTTATACAACAGACAATCAATCAATCAATCAATCACCTAATTGGCGCATAATAAATGTCCCTCCGTCCACCGATTCCACTGCGTAGGTCTTAATGTGGCATTTCAACTATTGCTGTTGATTTCTCATCAGCGATAATGAAACAGTTTCGATAGGAAATTAATCAATACTTAATTGATCATTCAATGTTTCTTCTTATAATTATAGAATCCAATAGAAGAAACTAGAAGATTGGGAAAATTTTTGAATGTCGAATTAAGTGATCAACAGATTGCGGACATTGTGGATAAATGTAGTTTCCAGAAGCTGAGACATGCTGCTGAAACTTTTAAAGATCTTTCTCATAGAGAGAAAATTACTGATACTGGAGAAGGTGCTATCAGAAAACCACCCAACATATATCGCAAAGGTAGATCGATAACTTAATGTCATAAATAGCAAATTTGGCTGATTGATTGTATAAAACAGCAATTTTCGACATTCAATTCAATATTTTTTTTCAGGAGAGATCGGAGATTGGAAAAATCATTTCACAGTTGCCATGAGTGAACATTTTGATACAATATTCCGAGAGAAAATGAAAGACTCCAATATTCAAGTACAATTTGAGTAGATTTATATATTAAAAAAATAGCAAATTGAAGGATGGCTTATTCTTGTATGTGGAAAATTTTTAATATACATGTAGAAACCTTTTTTTATTTGTGCATAATTACTAGCATTTAAAATAATGTATCAATAATTGATTTTAAAAAAATTATCAAGTTTGTACGAAGCATATATGATGCAAGACATATATATGTAAGGGTCGTGTTTAAGAAGCTAAAATAAAGAGAAGTAAATTAAGAAGAGTAAAAAAGAGTGGAAATAAACAAAATCCAATCCAGTATTGTGTTTTTTAATTGTGATCTTGATGCGACATAAAATAGTTCCAATGTCATGATTATATGACCCTGAAATACAATTAGGAGTTGTAAATACAAATACAAGAACAATTATTCTGCATGTGAATTTTAAACAGCAAGCAGTCATAACATATATTAAGGTATTCCATCTGTTAAAAAGTTGAAATCTTTTGCTCTCCTAATTGAAGTGACAAAAAGCAGAAATCTACTTCCTTGTTAACATTGAACACTCTTGCAGAAATCCCTATAATAGGTTAAATCTACGGTAGACTTACTCAAAGTATACTGTACGACAGAGATCGCTACCTGAATAGCATTCCTGAAAACGAAATGCAATGTGAATAGGAATTTCAGGGAGTGGTCTCTGTAAAACGATTCATTAAAATAAAACCGTAATGACAATATCGAACCGACAAACACTTACATTCTAATATTTTGTACGCCAACTTTTCAACTAACATTGAAGTCGGGCTGTACTAAGTGAATATTAATATTTTTTTCAAATTCCAGCGATTTGGGAATGATCAATTAAAATCAATTGTAAAGGCACTGCAAAATGCTTCAGGTGTGGTAAAGAAGGACATGATGGCAAAGGTTGTCATAAAGACCCCAAATGCAAACCCCACAAAGACCCCACATAGCTTCCTCCAATCAATGGGGAAAAAAAAGAAAAAAAAATTAAGAAAGTTTAAGCAGAAAAGCTAATACTTACCATGGGGGACGCAAAAACTGGTCAATATGTACAGTGTTCCAAAACCTTGTCTGTCATCATATGGAATATAGTTTTAAACAGGTCCTAGAACGGGGGGGGGGGGGGGGGAAGGCCCAACCCCACTTTTTTCTGAGTATAGTTTTTGCTGTAGTAATTTTTCCTTTAGATGTTGGTTGCCCCCCCCCCCCCCAAAAAAAAGGTCGATCACAGGCAAATTCCAGGATTTGGACAGTAAATTAGTTTTTTTTTTGGACAGTAATTTTTTTTCGTTTGTCAGATAATTTTGTGAAGTTGCCCCTCCCCCCCCCCACACTTTTGGTCAGTGTAGGTTTTTTTTTTGGGGGGGGGAGGGAGTTGCCCCATTTTTGAAACCGTTGCTACGGGCCTGTTAAAATCATCCTCAGTGAAGAATTATGTCAACACAGGAGAGAATGATATATCTGTAGTTTCTTTGTCATCTAATGACAAAGCTAAAAAGACATCAACACCTCCAACTGCAGGCCCAAAAAAGCAAAAGATCCCGTTACTTTACATAATTAATTCGGGGACTTTGAGGAAATGGACTTTACTCCATCTCATTCTTCTTCTTCACGAGTCGGAAGTCTTTTCCCAAAAAGAATAAAGAAAGTATATCCGCGGCCCAATTACACACAATTAATGAAAATGAAACCTTCTACATTTATTCAATGGAATTGAAGAATTAAAGTTTTAGAAATAATTTTTACGAATTGTCTTCACTTATTCAGGCTTTGGGGCAGAAACAAAATAACACATAAAGGTTACAAAAAAAAGAACTTGAAGATGCAATATCTCATCAAAATCTTCTATAAAATGACGGCTCAGACACTTTCCTGCATCCGGGCAATGGTTTATATTCCTCAATTAAAAACCAGTATAGCAGATATTTCTATCCTTCGTTACTTTTAGATTTACATTAGTCTGTACATGAGGATTTGTACTGGAACAATCATTTCCAAATTATTATTTAAAGAAATAAACCTTCAGAAAACAGTTGTGTTCAAAACAGGAAATTAAACAAGGCTGATGGATTCAAGTTGAATACTTGTGTTGACAAACTATTTCGGCTGAGAAAAAACAAGGTTCACTTAGGGTCCCTTTTGGCCCTATGGATTTCTGAAAAATCAAAACTGCCCTGTTTTATTTAAAAATACTTAAATCTTACTTGGGCCTTTAATGACTGCATATCTATTAATTAATATGACATAATTGTCTTGCTTTTCCATGTACTATGACGTCATGAATTGCGTTATACCCTAAAATCCAAAAATTTTCTTCGGAAATGGCCAAAGATTTAAGTTATTTTTGTAGATTTTGCATAGACCCCAACCTCTGATCAAAAATCTTCAATCATATAATGAAAGAATCGTTTCAGAAATTTTTAATCCATGTTTTATTTTTTGGATCGAGGGATGGGCTTAACGTAGGTCGCGGGTTTGCTGACGTCGTTAAAACTGTGTACACAATTTATATGATTTGGGCGACTTTCTTGTGCACATTTGATTATGACGTCACAATGAAAAAGAAATCTGCGATGATTTTTGTATTATTAAATTCTTCAGTATATCATTATTTAGCTATAACTTTTCTTGGAATTGGTAGTTTAGTGTTATATTATTTAAGCAACAACTTATCACAAATAATGAAGGCTTTTTACGATTTGTATAGTCGATACAATACTTGGATATAACTTTTGTTGAAATTGGTAATTTAGCGAAGAGGGCTTATTACGATTCGAATGATCGACACTGGAAGTATTAAAAAACGTTTAATTATATTTGTTATCAATCGAATCTTCTCGGGCCTTTCCTGCAAGCTTGTAAAAACAAGTGGTTGTTTTTCGGCTTGTCGGAAAGGCCCGAGAAATTGCGATTGATTTGTTTTCACTTGGTATCGCGAAACGATATGGACACAAGGTTCAACTGACTTTTTTTCCTTTGATCGTATATGAATTAACAGTTTGATTTATTAATAAAGAAGCCATTATTTAAAAAAAAATTGAAAATACACATGTTACATCAAAAGATTAACTTTATTTTTAAAAAGGATATTTTTAAAATATATAGATGTACAAGTTTATCATGAATTAAATACTGCTTAAGGTACGATGAAACACAAGACAATTTGTTAGCGACACTGACCTCCTGTTAGGATTTGATTCTGAAGGAGAGGGGGTGGCAAATTTTACCGAGACAGATTGTTTATTTTCATGTCGGTGAAGGGCAGATCATTTATTTAAAAAAAAAAACAAGGACAGATTATCGATTTCTTCTTCAGTGAAAAAAGTCTGACAAGCAACAAAAAAAAAGGAAACATCAAAGTTGAAAACTCCCATGGAGGAGGGGGGGGGTGCTAGAACTAGCCATGGACAGTTTATTCATTTTCTTGCCCAGTCGCTGACAGATTATTATTTCCAAAATCTGTAAGCCCCCCCCCCCCCAAGTGAAATGATCGTCCCCTAAGCAACAGCAATGGTGTTACCTACAGATTTTATTTGCTTCTTTGCTTTCCATGTCCAACAAGTAGAATTAATGTTCTAAAAAAAAACTGGCTGTTGATTACGTCAGATAAAATTAATTTTTTAAATTTCGTCCCATTTACCCCAATTACCCCTCTGAAAATGTGGTATGTAAAAATAGATATTTTGTTTAAATATATAATACTGAAAATATATTGTAATATATTGTAGCCGGGGCGATATTTGGTAGAAATTCGTTGAATTGAGCGCCTCGCTGAATGGTCTAAATAAAAACATTTTATATACTTGAATTACTTGAATTAGAGGATATCGTTTTCCGCCACACTGCAGTGGGAAGAGGGAGAATCAGCATTTCAATGAAAATAAAATTCCGATAGGAAATTAAATAACAGTAAAAGGTTATTTTCGGTAAAAAAAAAAGTTTGACCCTTCGTAATATGTGCCAACTCGAGTCCTAATTTTTCTTTTTAAACAGGAACACATTGGTTTTGGGAAATTATCTGCATGTTGCTCAAAGGCAAAGCTGAATATGTGAAAGAAGGAAAATCAAACAAAATAACATAAACAAATGGAGTTTAAATGGACAGTTCGAGTTTAAAATCGTCTTCAGAAAGAGTGCAGTATGCAATCGAATTGTTTATTCATATCCAGGCGTAATCCTTATAATTGGACAGATGCCGTAAATAAATTATGTTAGAGTCTAAAGCTTTCAGATGTTAAGTACAATGCTAAAGATTTCAATTTATTCTTAGTGAAAAGGTAAATTAGTTAACATCAGTATTCAGTAATATTAGTGGATGATTCGGAATCTCTTCGTTATCGGGATCACTTATCAACAGTTGTTATTATAAAACAGAATACCGCATAGTTTTTAGAAAAAAAAAAATAATTCAAGCACTTCGTTTTGGACTTCACTTTGAATATAGTGTTAAAGAAAAAAACATTATGAAAAAAACTATAAAAAGAATGAGCAATCCCGGTACCGAGATGTATACCTCGTGTGAAAATTAAAGATGGATGGTGGATCCTGTACTCAACGATCTATGAATAAAAGTACAATTTCAATTTTCTCAAATTAAAAGCTTTCTTAATACATAATATGGAATGGATAAAAAAAAACCTGGCTTGTGACGATAAATTGCACTCCAGAGTTGGTTTTTAGGAGAAAATCTTACTATACATGTATGTTGAATACATCTTGAATACATCTTCCCCCAAGTGCTAGTTTCCACTTCACCTGAACAAAAGTCTGAAACGTTGTTTCAAAGTGTACGCGTAGATCTAACTAATGCGGTTCACGTCTCATTGTTAGTTAAAAATCCTGTTAGGAAATTAAATGTACAATCAATGAATCCATCAACTCTTTTTTTCTTTTTATTATACATGTAACTGAAGAATCCAATGGAAGAGACCAAATGATTGGGAAAATTTTTGAATGTTGAATTAAGTCATCAACAAATTGCAGACATCGTGGATAAATGTAGTTTCCAGAAGCTAAAA